GTGATGTGCTTATCTATTATTGACATTCATATCCCGTAATAACTCAGGGAATGAAAATAGAAAATGTGCCCACTCAAAACATCTTTAGATCCTGAAATAACAAATTTCTACTTCAGGGAAGAGACTGATTTGGTTCCTGCCAATCCATTCCCCATGGAAAAATACCTTGCCATCTTCTGTGGAAAGTTTTTAGAAATGGACATGGTTGTGGGCATGTGTAAGAAAACATAAAAGAAAATCAAAGGCAGTGATAATGTCACTGACGCGGCATTAAAATCTACTTGCAGGTATTCAGCAGTTACATCATGCACAGTGATAAAGATGATATTTTTTATGTTCCTAGTGTTTACTATTTATTTTTCTCTCTTTTTGGGAGCCTGGTTCGATTACCTTTCTCCCCCTGACAGTTTCCTTTAACCTTTTCTATCAGCTTCTCTAAGTACCATAAGGTGCCCTCTTAGCAGCTTTTGAACAGTATTTCATGTCTAGTCACCTTTGTGCTGATAAAGCAACTTTAGAGTTACATCTCTTTATAAACTCTGTTTTAACAGAGAAAATAAAAATTAACATGGAATGTAAAAAAATTTTCGGGGGGGGCTAAAGAAGCAGGTTAAGTTGTTGGGGTTTTTTACATACATTTTAAATACATACACTCACTGCTCTGTTATTTCCATATGGCTTGCATTTTAATTCCTAATCCATGTAAATTTTGAGCAGCTAATTGCCAGTTAAAATGAAAAGTATCCTTGCCTTGCTAATTAACAGCTTTGCCTGATATAAGTAATTTTCTACAGCACTTTTTGTGATGTCTACTGCCATTTTTATCTTCCTGTACTGCTCTCATCAAATGGGCATTATTTTTATAGTTTTGTCAAGAACAGCAAGAATGATTGGATGCAAAACCTCAGTAAAATGATGATACTGTTTCATCTCATTGTGACTTTTGGGGAGTTTTGATTAAAATGCCAAAATATGAATCAATCAGCACACCACGTGTGTAATGTTCTTTGGTCACTAATTTCTGACAGGTCTACTTGTCTAATTCAGTGATTTTAGGTCAACATTGAGATCAAGGCCTTATTTCTTTTAATAAGCCATTTTTATTATAAACCTATGCATCATGTTTATTATTTTTAGTCATAGAATTTTCATTAGAGATCTGTGCCCCAGATCTGTGCATTGCCCATTACATGATAATAGATACATTATACTTGTTATAAATCATGCAAATTTGGGGATGAATTTGGCCTCATGTAGTGTATTGTATTAGTTCCTGAAATGATAATGTTGGGTTTATAGCCCCTGTGTCTGCATGGGTGAGGTGTAAGCTAACATAGGGAGAAAGGTACAGTATACCCCTAATTTCAGTCTATCCTTCTCCACCTTAATGCAAACAATCAATCATTATAGAAGGAAGCATGATACCAATCCTTTCCCCACTGAGGTCAAGTTGTGACTTTGAAGTAAGAGAACTGGCTTCACTGATAGAAATGATAGACAATCAGTGTATGCTGTGTTTAACAGGAATGAATGTACTTGATTATTTGGTTTCCAATAAAGCAAAATAAATGGTACATAAATCCATTAATAACGGAGAATCTTTGGTTGTTTCCTTGTTGTTATTTTTGATGCTCAGAAGTGGGTCACTTGGTATGTGCATAAACAAAGAAGATAAATGGCTAGAAGAGGAATGAATTTTCCATAACCCAATTAAAGGATATGTCTGGCTCCTCAGAGAATGTTATAGTGCTTAATGATTTTGTTGTTGCTGTTCTTAATGTGTCTAATGTTTGCTGTTTAAGAAAATCAAGAAAAATGTTAAAAGGTTATTCCAGAAGGGAGCTGTCAGCCAGGAGGAGGAGAAAGATTTGTTTAGCCAACAAATTCTCCACTGGCAAACTGAAGAGGAAGAGAAGACTCCTCCCAACCCCAACCCACAATTAAACTTCACTGGATGTAAAATGAGGAGTCAGTAAATTGTGCAATTTGACCCGCAAAATTCTGATCCCCTGACTGCAGCCTAGTTGGAGCATGCATTGTGCAGCCCTATGCACACAAGCTTCAGGCACATGCCCATTGGCAAGCTTTGTGTGTGCCCTGGGACCTGGGATCAGGGAAGAAATCCCAGTAGCCTCAGTTTAGACATACTGCAATGAACCTGAGATACTCTATCTTTCAGCATCCTCTTCCCCAGAACTGAGTGTCATTTCTGCTGAGAGCCAGAGCACCCCTGTGCTGGACAGGACCAGATGGTCTGACCTTGAGTGTCCCTGCATCCTGTGCCTAGGAAGCCAGGCTAATCCTTTTTGCTATCTGCCTCACTGCAATTGGTACATGACAAGAAATTTGTCTTACAGGAGGTGCTTCTGGCATGTCCAAGTTGTGGAGATGGCACTCTCCTAGGGTGGTCTGCAGCACCCCTGAACCCTGGAAACCCTTGCAGGGAAGAGACAAAGAGTGGACTGCTCTTAGCCCAACATGCCATTTGGTTGGTGCCCTGATACAAATTCAGATGTGGATGTGTGGATCTCCCTGGATCCCAGTGATTAGATACAGGTTTTGCAGTCCCATAAGTTTGCACCAATTCCTGGTGTCAGCATCTCCCAGTCACTGCACAAAGTTCACTTCTCTCCCAGCCACTTGATCAAAATCCAAGTGTTTCCAGGATAGCGTGGGCTCTTTTGTCATTGGCTGTGAGACTAGACTTAAAATACTAATGGGTTGTGTTATTTTTAGCATGCTGCTAGTAGAGTGCTGTGCAGAGCAAACTGGGGGAAGGAACTGGCAGATGCTAAAAGATCATAGCAATGAAAGTTGAGAGAAGCTGAATTGACAAAGAAAAGACAGCTCCCTAGCTTGAAGGGCTTTCTGCCTGCCAAATTGTGAAAGTCTTCTAGAGACAAATGGAGCCATGAGAAATCCCTAAAAGAGAAGATGCAAAAATCATCTATAATATCATGCAAAGGCTCCTTTTCAACAGGAAACGACAAGCACCTTAACCAGAACAGTTGCAGTTAGTGATCCCTGAAATGACAATTAGGAGGATGAGGACAGTAATAATACACCTTTGAAAGATAAAGCCTTTATTAAGGGAAAATTAGCAAAATTATTTTCTAGTATTACTCAGTAGTTTGTCTAGGGTCACACAAAGGTTGAACTCGACTCTCATTAGAGACAACACTTTTCACGAATCTGTATCTCCTTAAGAAAAGAATCCCTATTTATTTCTTGCAAATGTGTTTGCAGTTTGTATAGCTGCTGCCATAACATCATCAAGCTGGTCTTTGTTAGCTCAGGATCCTTTCACATCGCTCACCATTTCAGTTCCCATAACAACAGAATACATTTGTAATATGAAAACTCAGCTTCTCTCAATTCTTTTGGGTAAGCTTGTTTTCTCCACTTAATAGAAGCTTGTAACACACTAGAGGCTTGTGCAAACCTGAAAACTTGAGTAGTTTAAAACAGTAGGTGTTATGATGAAAAGTGCTTAACTTTCCTATTTAAACAACGTCTTCAGGTGAAGTGACAATTTCAAATGCCTGCAGCTTTTGGCTTTGGCATAGTATAGCCAGGGGTTGCCACACCATATCTGTATTTCCTAATTAAGATATGAAATACATGTTTTTGAATATGCCTTTTTAGATTCCATCAAATTCATTGTGTGTTTATGAAAACACACAGCCATACCAAAGTTGGCTAGCCTAGCAAGCTTTATCTTCAGCCTATAGCTCTTTCCCTGAATTCAATACTGCAGGCACAATTTAATGCAAACCCAATTTATGACTTAATGCTCCAGGGACCATAGTGGGAGATTGTTACATTATTCTTTTCTAATCCTATTTGTGTTTTAATTTGCTAAGTCTGTAATGAGGTGCATGCCTTGAATAGATTCAAGATCTTTCACATTGCTTTTGACTTTGTTTAATATAATAGATTGTACAGTTTGCATTCAGAATTGAGGTGTTCCAGTCAGTACTATCTCTTCATTTTCAAACTAGAGTGGATAAAATTATGTTCTGAAAGTAATTGTATCCATGTTTCCTTGTTTATCACTTAATGGTTTATTTCCTGTTATAATTTTCTGTTACAATATGTGAGGTCACAAAAATCAATTCTCGGTGGACTCTGACTTGACTGTTTGAAATTACTCCCCAAAACACTCTGAAAAAATAATGGAGAAAATAAAGCACTGGGTAGTAAGTGGCTGGCTATACCGATTCTTTTGTATTATTGCTTCTCTGATTTTTTTGTGCTGTTGAAACTCTAGTGAAAATATAAAGAAATGGAGGAAAATGTCAGTTACATGAGATACTCAAGTGATGATAATCTACATACCTCTATTTATGCCAATGATTTATGGTGATAAATCTACCCCAACATAGTCATAGCATTTTTGTTTTAAAATTTATTGTCTGTGATCCCAATTGTCATTCTTCTACATTGAGAACAGCAATCCCATTTCAGATCATCTCTAGATTTTAGTTTGGTTTTCATTTTGTTTATAGAAGAAAAAAACCTCCATAAAATATCTAATCTTCTTTTCATGACCAGATTATAAAACATATTGTACCACAAAACCGTAACAGTTTAGAAGGGTAAAAAATTCAGTGCCCTGCCATCAAATATCGGGGAAGAGAAAGGAAGGGAAGGGAAGGCAAGATAATAATGTCACAGTGACTTGGATTTAAACAGGAATCTTGTTTTCAGACAGCATACAATACTAATAACATTTCCCTGATTGGTTCTCCTTGCTGTATCATACAAATATGTGTCCTGAGTCACCTTCCTCCCGTAACAGCCATACCAGGAGGAAATTAGGTTTTTGGTTCCAAATGCATGGTCAAAGCCATTTAGGTTTTTTTCCTGAGCTCTAACATTATAGGAATCTCTATTAAACTCACAAAATGTGGCTGGAGCAGCTACAGCGTCTCACACAAAATGAGCTGCAGGCAGACATTCCACAGAGTACAGGGAACAGTGTTTACACTGATGCTCACCTTTCAGTGTTTAGTACCAGTCCATGTCACTTCTCATCTGGATGAACCCAGCAAGGACACGTCCCAGCTAATTGCCATCTTGCAAAATCTGTCAGACACTCCTCTTCATTTCTCCCATGTTTTTCTTTCCTGGATATAGTTTTGCCTGCCTGAACCTATGTCTTTGAGGACAAGCAGAAACCAAAAAAAAAAAAAAAAAAAAAAAAAAAAAAAAAAAAAAAAAAAAAAAAAAAAAAAAAAAAAAAAAAAAAAAAAAAAAAAAAAAAAAAAAAAAAAAAAAAAAAAAAAAAAAAAAAAAAAAAAAAAAAAAAAAAAAAAAAAAAAAAAAAAAACCCAGGATTTTCAAAAGACAGGGTTAATCTTTTCCGAAATGCATCCATCCAAGAGTCTATTACAACAGTTCAGCAAAATCATGCCTTATAAGTTGCAAATGCAGGAGTCCAATAGTGGGAATAGCGAAAGCTCTTGTAATTTAATTTCTTTTTCAAGTATGCTTTCTGTTCACTTTCCACACAGTCTTGAGGACTAATAAATCAGAATAATGGAAAGCTTAAGAAATCTTGCATCATATAAAAAGCTGCTCTTAATTTGTGAAACATCCACTCATGCCAACAGATTCTTCAGTTTCTTATTTCATCGAAGTGAGCATGAAGTAACTGCAGCCTTTCTCAAATTTCAGGAGAAGGAGACTGAGGAGTTTGGATTCATATCTCTGGCTCTGAGCGGGTAGGTGCTGGATCAGTTACTCCAATACCCTTTTTTTCCATCTTGAATGCAGCTAAAATCTCTCATAAACTTGATTTTGGTAAATCCAGACAGTGGGAAACTCATAAGCACCAGTGAGGCCCAACACTGTGACATTTTTAAGCTCTGAGAAAACATCTGTGGGTATAACAATACCATCCAAGCGAATTCCAGCTCCACCCTTGGTTAGTACTGAACACAAAGCCTGAAACTCTAGTAAATACCTTACAGGTAAACTAAAGCAATCTTTATTTCAGATGGCTGAGAACGGGCGGTGAATGATCAGAATAGCCCTTGGTTAAGAGTAATTTTTGGATGCAGTGGTCTCTAATTTGTGGCAAGGTACCTGCTCCCACTCACACTGGGTAGCAGCTGGGGTACTGACGGGGAGGACAGAAGAGGAAGGTATAGGTGATTTACTTGGGGGATGAAGTAGCATATCAACAGACATAATAAAAACACCCAAGTCTAGATAGAGAACTTTCAGATAATAATCTTCGTAGAACACATGTGGCCTTTGGAGTCCTTCCTGACAGTCTGCAGAATAAAATAAATTTTTGCCTAATAATTGAGATTTCCTGGAACCAGGACTGGTTGAATCCCCCAGTATTGCTTCACTGAACCTTGTTGTGCCATGGAAAAATAAAAAAAAAGCATGCAGGCTGTGTAGTGTCTGTGTCCAACAGACACAGCAAAACACCTTTTGAAATTGGAGAGAGGTAGTTCCCAAGAAGGGCTGCTGGCCATAAGCTAGGGGAGGAGCCATCAGATCTATGGGAGAAACTTAAAAATGACACTCAGGACTGACAGTCACAGCCTGCTTCCACTATCCCCCACTTAGTGACTGGATTAAGAGCACTGTACATCCAAAAAATCCTGTCAGACAACTTTAAAGGGTTAAGTGTCATCCAGCATTCAACCCTTGGCTGTACGTACTGCAGGCAGTGAGATCCCTGCAATCCCCCACCATGGGTTCCCAGGGAGAGAGCATTGAAGCCTCTAAAGTGGATCCTTGGTGAAAACGATATGCTTGACTCCAAGAGTGCAATGCTGGAAACCTTCTCAGAGTTTCCGTCTTGCCTAAATGCATTGGTATTGCCTCTCTATTTCACTTTCACACAGACTCACACTCTCTACTCTGCCCTGACCTAGTCAGATCAAGAAATTAGATAAACTTACACATTAGTCCCCCTTTGGACATGACTAACACACCACTAGGACCAGCCTGTGCTTAACCAGTTACTTCATGGCTGTAGAAGGTTTGAATCTTCTCAGGCGGATGAAAGAGCTGAATATGTATTTCCCACAGTCTGTATAAGCGCTCTGCCACCCAAATTTTATATAAAAGCAGGGCATGATGTATTTTTCCTATTTTCTCATTTACAAAATAGCAGCAGCAGCTATCCCTTCTTTCTTCCAAAATTTCCAGTGGATGCCAGAATTGTCAGTGGGTTCATTTCCTCTGCAAATTCCCATTGGACTTAGATCGAACCAAGGATTTTAGTCAAAGCAGACCTCAGTTTCTCTTGCTCAGACAGTCCTGAGACAAGTGCTGAGCTGCTCAGGTTGGAAAATGCAACCTGTGGGGAAAGGATGGAGGATACGTGCCTTCACAGTCAGATAACAAGCAAGCAGGACTTTGGACTTGTTTGTTACTCATTACTTGACGATGAGCTTCCTCGTAATATCAGCCTTCTAATGGCTGGGCACCTCAATTACACTCACCTTGACTTCTCCTTGAGGCAGCAGGGAAAGATGGGCAGGGATTTCCCAAAGCACACTCGCCTTTGCTCAGTGCAGGTACCTCATGATGTAGTTCACTTTTCTCTGGAATCAGCATAGGTTTAAAGCTCCCCATCCTTCCCCATGCACACCTGGCAGGTCCCATTGGCTGCCCTAACCACCACAGGGCTTGCAGACTGCCTTCCAAGCCATGACAGCAAAATCCTGCAAAGCAAGTCAGAATTTCTCATAGCACTGCCCCTGTCAAGTAGAGGTTTAGTTTTACTTTCCTTCCTATCTGTGTCCAGATAGAGTAATTGGTTTTCAACAATAGCAGGAAAAAGGCGTATAGGAGTGTGAGAGAAGGATGTCTCTTACCTGTTGGTGTCTAGGAGGCATTTATGAGAGGACGCATCTTATTTATTATGGAAGATGCATATTAAAGCATTAAAAGACAGCTGTGACTTGATGGCTGTTGGTGTATAGTAAAGAGCAACTGCACAGTGACAGCACAGACAGTAAAGCCCATGGAACCCTGTGTCTAAAGAACAGAGAGTGCCAGGGCTGCAGGAGAATCCCTGTCACCTGGCAGCAAAATTCACGTGCAGAGAGCAGCTATGCACATTTGGCCAGGGAATATTTGCCACCATGAGCTAGGAAAGCTGCAGTGTCCTTCCTCTCCCCACTCAAGAGTTAGTCCTGCCCTTATGCTCCATATTGCACAGCCTGAGAGAGCCAGGCCCCCCGCACAGCTACCACCCCCCCCATTTTCACTCACACTTCACACCAGTAACAGACACCTCCAATCTGCAGGTCACAGCAGCTGAGGCTGATTTAACAGGAGGTAACCAGTCTTCTGCAGACTATGGAGAGACAGGCAGGGAAGTATTTCCAACAGTGACAAAAAAAGAATTCAGTGACCACAAGATAAAATGTGTTCAGTGTGTAATATGGTGCCTGCATGCTAAAATTCCTGGAGGTAATTAGACTTCATGTTTGCATATGCTTATTGCTTTGTCTCAAGTATATTTTTCCTGAACGCGTTAAATATTTTCTTATAATTCCTCGAAGACATAAAGCATCCATTTCTCCGCAAATGAAATCAGATATTTGTGTTTGTTCCCTCATATATATGCATGTAGAAAAGTGTGTGCGTACATCTATATGTCTTTATTGAACATAATAATGTGCTATAGAGGTAGCTAACCTTATAGTGGTTATTAAAGAAACACAGTAGAAGGAGGACAGTTGTTAGGTGTTCTTTTCAGGAAGCTGACAGTGGTGGCTGACCTTTATCGTGGCACTAGCATGTATTAGCCAAAATAATACCTTAACATTTTTTTTTTATACCGGACTATATGTTCTGTTATAAGGAATAGCAAACGTTTAATCATAAATATTTTAATGGCTTCAGGGATTCATGGTATTCAATGACTGTGTTAAATGATAATAATCACATCTGGTTTATTACTATAGTAATTCAGCAGCTTCTCTTCAGTAGTTATTTTTTATTATATGTGCTGTGCTACTGTCATGGTCATTTATAGCGGTAATATTTTAAAGTGGCTCATTTGTTTGTTTAAGGACAGTTTCACAATATATTTCTGTATTAATATACATTTTGTACTATTATTTCCAAGCTGCCACTGGAAAATTGATCCTATCTTGTTACGATGAGAGGGGCTGGGACTGATGCAAAATGCCAATGCTGAGGAAAAGTGATGGAGCAGATGGGTAGTGTACTGGTCTCCACCGGGGCTGTAACTGCTGTTAAGTTTTATTCATAAATGAAGGGGTTCATTAAGAAATAGTTAACTAATAATAAACATGAGGGGAGGATTTGAATCAGGCAGAGCACAGACAGAAAAATACCACAGTTAAATAGTCAAAAAGCAACTGGATATGGCCATTTTACAAAATATTACACAATAATACTCCCAGTTTTTGCATGCTAGTGCACTTATAATGGAGGCACTTTCACTAGGGAGGCAAGGGAGAACTGATTGATTTTTCTGATCATTTTATTCACATACCTGCCCACTCTCAGTCACAAGAGAGAGATCTCATTTATCTTAATGGGATCATTCATGAGACTAAAGGTTTGGAGGATCAAGCCATATATCAGCACAAATGGGAAGAAAGTACCAGGACTTAGTTATCAAATTAGAGGAGGGACCACTCAAGACTGAAAAGAGCTTCCCATCATTATTTTCTCACCTTCAGTTGCCATTTTCTAAAACCTTATTTTCCATGGCATGCTGCACTTCCTGCACATGGCATTCTCAGGGATTTGGGATTCAAGTTATTTACCTGGCAGAAGTAACAGTGGAATATGGATGGTTTGGAGAGTAGTAAGTGTGAAGATGTGGTAATCTCTCATCAAGCCCTACTAGCATTGGTGACTACCCCATCCTCAGCAGCCCAACCTTGTGTTTATGTTGAATTTAAGGGCAGCAGAGCAGCTCCTGGACATCATGACTTACATCAGAGCTTGTCCAGTGTATTGAGACCTTGCATTGCCTTTAGAGCCGGCACAAAATAATTAGTAATCATGTTCAATGGGTGTGAAAGATATAGATAAAAGCAATTTATAAACCATGTCTGTGAGAGAAACTGGTACAGCAAGGGTTAACTTTCTGCTCTCTCATTTTTTGCTC